AAAAAAAAAAAAAAGTCATTAAGTAGGATAAAGATACAAGGAATCGATGGAGCAATGGATTCTCTGCAGCTTTCAATTGTCTCCAGTCCAGTGCGCGGGAGCATCAGGCTGTTAAAGCCTGCTTATTGTTTCCAGGTGAGCTCTCCGGTCCGTCAACAACCTCCCAGTAACTGAGCAGGGATCAGTGACTGTTCAGCTGTTTTGTACGTACAGCATATGATAAATTTTCTTCAAACAGGAGCTGCTGGGATGATTTCTGCTGTGAGAAATACTGTTTTTTTTTTCCCTTAAGTCACTACAATTACAACTGTAATGCCCTGCCATGTTTAGTATCTCAGCTCTGTTCTCAGTCAGGCGTGAGAATCTACTGCAGTCAAACTAAACGCAACAGGTGAACTTTGTTATTGGCATTCAAAATGTGAACTTTAAACTTTTAGAACAAAACCTCTAAAATGTAACTTTCGAAACTATTCTTTGTGATAGTAACACTCTATTGCAAAGGACATATTTTGTGCAGCCTCTTAAGCATTCATTCTTTTTTTGCTTTTTGGTTGTTTTTTTATTACTATTACCAATGTTTTGAATTATTAATACATTACTTTGTATCCATCAACTAATTTGCCGATTAGTTGATGGATTAGTTCTTGCACCTGAGCTGTGGCTCTCAGAAGCTCCTCCAGTGTTACCTTAGACCTCTGGGCTGCTTCTCTGGTTAATTGATCTTGTTATGTCACATCATGAATAATACAGTTAGGTTACTCTTTTATGTTTCCTATGTAACTAGGGGACTTCTGGAAGCTTTCAGTTTTGAGTAAAGCGGTTGAGCACAAGATGTCACAAACTTCAGATTTTAGTCATTTTGCTCCTGTTTCACAATTATGCACAACTTTGTGTTGGCCTATTGCATAAACTCTAAAAATACATTGAAGTTTGAGGTTGTAACTTAAACAAAAAGTTCTCAACGCCTGAGCACTTTACCAAGCCACCGCATTGTGTGGCCAAACTACCTAGCCTTTTTTATTTTTTTTTTTTTTTTTGTGGTTGGTGGGCAGCTCCATAACATGCTAAGATTTTAATAGCTGTGTGAGAACAGACAAGCACTTTCAGTTGAAAGAATAGCTGTGCTTTTATTCCCTCCTTTCACAAAGAAATAGGAAGGCAAGCATCCATCTCTCCCCTCATTAACACACAGATTCAACTTGTTCTTCTTTAATTATTTGACCCACCTGGCCTGAAGTCTTCCCTCACGGAAACTAATGGCCAATTGAAGCGCCGGTGGGCTGTCATGACACAAAGATGTGCCAACTGCAGCTGTCTTAGAAAGGAGAATAAGGCACTTGGGTGCAAAGATGACTGTCTCTTATCAGCTAGAAATGTACTCATTAGAGAATATTTCTGGTTTTAAAATATGTTATTTTTGCCACCGTCCCGACACCGTGACATTTGAGCCGTCCGCACAAAAAGATGGTGACGGTGCTGCCCCACATAACTGGCAAGATAAGGTTTTTTTTTTTTTTATCAAAAGCAAAGAATTTGTTGAATAATTAACTTGCGCATTAAGCATTTATGCTCGGGAACATGCCTTAGAAGAAGCAATGCACACAGCTTCTGTTGACACACAGATGTTTTATCCCCAGATGAGGTGGAAAAAAATGCCAACACTTTCAAGCATGAGAGCGATTCCGACACTTGTAATTCTGTCAGAGAGAGGACGATTACTTCACCTCAGGCAGGGATGATCTGCTAACTGGACAATAACCAAGAATCAGGCTGAAACGTAATGTTGCCCTGGGGCATGTGGCAGCGGTGAAGCATGAGAGGCGTCAAGAGGAGACTCAGCACAATGCTTGTGGTTGGGTAGTTATGAATGAATTTATGACATCCCTCCCCCCGCCCCCTTCAGTTTTCTCTATAAAATGCCAAGTTAAAAACAATTCAACTTGGGTTATGTTGTTTCCTGGGTTGCTTCAACATCTGTTTAAGCTCAGTGTTTTATTTTTTAATACTAAAAGGTAGGTTAAAGGGACTAACATTAAATCAAGCAAAGAGTGGTATGAAAACAAGAACTCAAAAGCAAATAGTATGCATTGTTCTTGTAGGAGAGTCTCTCTGTATGTGCCAAGCAACTGCAACTACGCCTCCGCAAAATTCTTTCTTTATTTTTAGCTAACTTATTATGAACAAACAATTGTATTTGTAGTGCAAAAATGTTTCCCTATTAAACCCTTTAAATCGTTCTTAAGAACAATTTACTCTTGATTTACTATACCTCTTCTTAAGAAGTACAGTTCCTAATGTAAGCTCACAGTTTCACCAGGTGTTTGGTAATTGTTGCTGCTGCTAGTCTGAAGGAGCTGACTGGCGAACGTGCGGCGGAGAGATGCTCTGTGAGGTGAAAGCTCGGCTGGAGACTGAAGCGCCAAGGAGGAGCTTTGTGAGAGCAAGCGTTTCAACTATTCAGGTTGCCAAGGGAGATTCAAGGATGAAAGAATCAAAGCAACACTCCAGGTATGTTTTTGATGAGAGAATAACATTATATATATATAAAAAAGTAAATCTTTCATCCACAATTTAAAAAAACCTATAAGCGCTAGTAAATTTAAAGACTAGTCAAATGAATCAATTGAGTCAATCAACATTGACTCAGCAAGACAGAGACCTGTGGCATGTATGGGAGTGGAGATTTGATTGTGGAGACATTGAGGAGCTTACAGAACCAAAGGTTAAACAACCAGAAACCACGGGGAGAACAAAAGCAGAATGCAGTGATGAGCAATGAAACCATGGAGATCAAGTATGTGGGAGGAGTGATAATAGGCAGAGAAACCAGGTGAGAACAGTCAACACAACGCAGAGCAGCTGGAGGAGAAGGCAGGGATCTGAGGGAAGGATGACTAATAGGAGAGGCTGAATGGAAACTTGTCAAACTATTTCAGACTTAAAAGTCAGGCTCACTTTTAAGAGTTAGTTCTGTCTCGAAAGTCAGAACTAATTCTGACTTAGAATCAGTGACTTAAAAGTCTAACGCAAAACGCACTTAGAATGAGACACAAGAAAGAACATAAAGTTGTAAATTTTTTTAAATATGATATATTTACTGAAGGCTATGATATTGTGAAATTTTATACTTATCCAATCCTTTAGCTAAAAGTTGCTACTAAGCTGAAAGATTTTTTTTATTTTTTTTTTATTTTTCTGTTGAAAACTGATAACGCTGAGTGTTTGGTCTAAACTACCCAACACCTGTCCAGACAGCGTCAGCCGAACATCAACCCAGAATTTGGGCTGAAGAAATAACCAAGCAGTCATTGTGTGTGTAACTTTAGCTGCTACCTCCACAGCTCATACGTGTTTGTGTGGAGTGACTCATTCACGCCTGTGGTCCAAGAAGCCTCTGAAACCCACTCATATTCTGAAAACTGTCAGCTCTCCCACCCCAACCTCTGTATTGATACGTCAAGTTTGCATGCATACAAACTAGGACTAAAAATTACTGAGTCTGTGTGATGGTGGCCCACTAAACCTGAGCTCCTCCAGCCTGAGGCTTCTGCATATTTCCTGTCGTCTGCATCAGTGACAGCCAGTCGGCTCTCCTCCGTCTCACTCTGGGAGGCCAACCTTTTAGCATTTCCAGCGATGTGCCTTGGAAATCTGTTTCCAGGGCAACTGGAGTAGCAAATACTCTCAGAGTGGCTTCTCACTGGTGTGTTCTTTGTTTATACCACACGTATATGTATCTGTGAGGATGCCTTGAATCATAGCACAAAAGGGCCAAAAGCCAAGACAAATGCATATTTCCATGATGGATGAAATAAAACTACTATAAATTCATTAACTAATTTAAAAATGTATCTGACAAAGGAAAAGAGCTAAATATGAATGAATGAATGAATGAATGAATTAATAAATGAATGAATGAATGAATGAATGAATGAATGAATGAATGAATTGACTTTATGTCAAAATCATATATCTTACATAAGGACTTAAAGATTTTAAGTTTAAAAAGTCAATTATGATAACTCAAACATGTAACATGTTGGTACTATTACAAGATCACTTTATCCTTAAATCTGCCAGAGGTATGAATAATTTTGGTCTTAACTCTGTCTGTGAGGGGTTGGGTGAGATTTCTGTGTGAATTTGCACTGAAGATCTCTCCTGTTATTGTTTTGAGACCCCTAAATGTTTTTGACCGTCAAGTAAGTTGTAATATCACAGAAAGAAAAGACAATCTGATGAAATTATTTGCATCCACTGATGCTACCCAATACAACTTGGCCCAATGTAGAAAAGTTGTTGCCCCTTATAATAAATCACGAATTAACTATAATTGATTGTGAGTGTACATTGCGTACAGTAAGATACAAGGACATACTTTTCAGTTTTAGCATTTCTGTGTATGGAATTGTTTCTATGAAGGTTTTATGTAATGTCCAATATCCTGATCATATGAATTGTTTGTTTTCATTTGCTGTAAACTGCAACAATCTAACTTAAAGGAGATACATGTGTGCAATGAATCTATATAATCTGAGTTCTACTCTTGAATTTAATGTTAGTTTTCAATCATTTTCAAGTTTAATGACATAAACCTCGATCAATGTCAGTGTGCGGAGTGAAGATGGGAGTGGGCTCCCAAGTGAAATTCTGTGGAACCTTTCGCAATCTCTGAACACTCCAATATAGGAGTGAAGAAGGAAAAAATGCACGGTTTGTAGAAAACACAGTCAAGGACGGAGTCAGAGCGCGGCCAGTCAATCCTCTGTTACAGTGAAACCCCCCTGGGAGTAATAACTCACCATTCAATCTATGCACCTTTGAAATACAAACATAAGTGAAATCGACAGAATCCCCACCCAGAATCGGCAAAAATTCTTATCTGTACTTTGACCTGATATGAAATATTCCCACAGAAAGACGTTCAGTTCTGATACGCGGATGCGCGCACCAGGAGTTCCCCTTTCAAAGCAATGACACGAGGAGGAGGGGAAAGAAATTCAGCATTTAAAAGTGCAACCGTCAATCACCGTGAAACACACGCTGGAGGCAATTTCCCATATATTCCCGGTGATTACCTCGCTCCGTTATTAGATTTATTCGAACTCAACTCACGTTCGTCACTTTTAAATGCCTTGCGCCTGCGCGTAAAGAATCCGGGAGCTGTCCAAGTGCTGAACTGAAAGAAGAAAAAGAAGAAGGGGGGAAAAAAACGAGGCGTTCCTCTCTCATTCCTTGACAGCCCCTCTCACCTGAAAACGGTTTCACTTCATAGATGCCAGCAAGCCTGGAAGCAGGTCGAAGCCTTTTTAGATCTCAATCCACCGCCTGAAGAGGAGCTGCAAGTCGACGCGTCTTGGAGTTAACATAATTTCGACGGTTCTTTTATTTTTATTATTTTTATTTCCTCCCCCCTCCCCCTCCCCCCCCCGACCCCAAGGACTGTTGTTTCTCCCCGCCTTTGCTTCGAGCAGTTTGATTTTGTGTGCTGGAGTTTTTCTGTGAAACTGAACTATGATCTTTGGCCGCTTTGAGGAATGTCTCCCGCGTTTCTGCGTGACCCGAGACAGCCCGAACGCCAACGACTTGGTCAGGAGGAGAACGCCGCTGTTCCCGTCTGGATTATGTGTTTGACTGATGTGAACCATATGGAAGAAATAGAATAGAAAAGTGAAGCACATGGGGAAACCACCGGGAATGAAACAATCCTTCTTTAAGGTTTTAGCAGCTATCTTCACATACTTCCTGGAGATGAGCAACTTCAGGTAAGAAATTAGATTTTTTTTTTGTTTGTTTGTTTGTTTGTACTGCGACTGAGTTTTATTATTATTTTTATTTTGAAGTTAAAAAAACGGCGGAATTTGAAATATTTAGACTAATTTATTTTCTTTAACCTAATTTAGCTCAACTATTTGACGAACTAAAAATGATAAAGCACAAAATAATGTTATTTGTTTAATTTGATTTTAAATTTTAAAATCTTTAGAATTGTTTTTTTTTTTGTTTGTTTGTTTGTTTTGTTTTGTTTCTTTGCTTGGTTGAAAATGAACACTGAATGTTATTTAAGCACCCAATCGTATTAATTGCTGAGCCATCGCTGCAAAATTATTGCTGCTTCCACCTGCACGTTTATGCATCTCTGTGGGATTCTCGTGTTATGAACAGATTAGTCCTGTTTTGGAAGGGAAATCACATCTGATAGCTTAATATACGTCTGTGTGCGTGTGTGTCTGCAACTCACACGTTTTCTGTGAGCGCCTCTGACTCCCAGGCAGCTCCTGGGCTACACCGATAAGGTTTAACACCTGCTTTCTGAGCTGCGACTTCTTTCTGATCAAGTGCTTTTTTTTTTCTTTTCTCCCCTCCCCTTCACCATGTGTGCTTTCCAGAGCTGTGGTCGCCAAGGAGTACGATTCCAGGTCCTCATCCAACATGTCTCCATCAGACTTTCTGGACTCCTTAATGGGTCGCACGTCCGGGTACGATGCACGAATTAGACCCAATTTCAAAGGTTTGTCCGCAACCAAATGAGTCTCACCACACACGCACGCAAACACACACACATTTCACTTCCCACATTTTGAGAACTATAAATAGCCACAGAAATGCCACTGTAAGTGTAAACACTAATCTTTTTAACCAGTTGCGTACTGGATTCTATCTGTTGCCAAGGAACTGGGCTTCAAGCAACTCGGAGGCAACAATCAATCACTTCAATTAACAGTAACAGCGAGGACCCTGCTTAGATTTAATCACAGTCCACACTGTGCCACTCAATGATGGTTTTCTTATCTGAAAGCTGTCTAAAATTCAATATCCACCTTTATTAAATGTGAGATCAGAATCGGGAGCTGGAAATATCCCAGCAACACAGAAATAAGACACGTTCTCACTTCAGACAGGGATGCCGGCTAGACGATTGATGGTGCCCCAGTGGCTAGACTGCAGGCTCTGCTGCTGTTGTTGCTTTGATGCTGAGGACACACACAGCTTCTGTCATTGGAATGGTTTTGAGTGAGCAAAGGTTTCGCTTATGGGGGGCTAAGGCCCACTCTTAGCTTCTGGGGTCACCTGGGATGTTGTTTGTTACAGTCCATGGACTCCAGTAGGTAAAGCAGCTTGAAAATACAGGACGGGGAAAAGCACAACGATCCATTGTCTGTACCTCGGTTTTCTTGCAAGGTCACAGGGGACTGGTGTTTATCTCCGGCAGTCATAGGGCAAGAGGTGGTGTAGACGTGGTCACCAGCCCTTCACAGGGTCACAACAATATAGAATACATTTTTCTTGGAATTTTTACATCACAGACAAACATATAGTAGCACATTATTGAGGTGGAACTAAAATTAAACAATCCACATAGTGTAGTCCTCTTTAAAATAATAATAATAATAATAATTTTAATCCAATGCTACTTAATACAATTCAGTTCCACCGACTATCTATAGTAAATAGAGTCCACCTGCAGGCAATTTAATCTCAGCATGGATGCAGCTGTTTTGTGAAGATCTCAGAGGTTATGCAGAGAACATCTGTGAGCAACCAGCATCACAAAGAACAAGGAATATATCCGACTGCTCAGGGATAAAACTGTGAAGAAGTTCACAGCTGCAAGCTTTAAGAGTTACAATGGACTGGTTTAAATAAAAACTTTTTAATATGGCTGCTCAAAGCCCAGATTTACTTCCAATAGAGAATCTCTTAAAATTTGTTGATAACACGAACTGAGCCATAGCTATTATGCTCTGAATATGGTGGAAACATGTTCAGATCTGTTGGTGGTACAACCGAACATATACAGTTGTAAATGCAGTGAAAGTTGGTCTTGTCAAGTAATAACTCAGTTTTAGCTAAGCACTCACTAAACGATATCACACTTTTCAGATGTAAACTTGTTTGTTTTTCTTCCTGACTATTATCCACTGCAGTGTGTTTGTGTATGACATAAACTCTGAATAAAAAGAGTCAAAGTTTTTAACTGAAACAAAAACAACAAAAAAATGTGAAAGAAGGTATGAATATTTAATTCCTGTATGCCATATATTCTTTGTCTCTTAGGGGAATCTGGCACATGTCAAGATTTCTGTGACACATATGAGATGATAAGAAGAATTGTTATATTTTTAGATAGTACTGATACATAAAACATCGATTTTTGCTGATTTAACCTGGTTGTTTTAATGCTAGAAGTGAGAGCGGGGTCCTCTCTCTGTATTAAACACATAGAGCTTCACATGTTGCAGTCAGAAAGCAAGCACATCCACATTAAGCCGCTGTGCTGTAAACAGTTAGTTTTTGCTCATGAACCTGCTAGACGTACTTTGAAGAGTGTCGAACCGTGTTTCTAAAGAGGCTGACCTAGATTTCCAATGCCGAGTTTGTTATGAGGAGCTGCTGCCAGTTACCTCTTTCTGCTGTAAAAATGTGGAAACTTGACAACAAACAGAGGCAAATATTAATACAGAGAGCCATGAAATATTAATGTGGAAAACACAGGGGAAAGGCAGTAGGAAGAGCTTACAACTTCACTTATCAGCTTGGGGAGAAAGATTTGCTGTGACTCGTAATGCAAGTCTTGCAAAGATATTTTAGTTCAGGGAGCTGCAGAGAAAAACTACCTTCCCTACTGGAGTATATAGGATAGATTGCCTTATTCTGTTGTAGAGAAAATGTTTATTTGATGGTTTAGAATTGAAGCATGACCTTTCACTATCAAATACACTTGCTTTGTTAATTTATTACAAATGAACATTTTATAGTGATTTTGATATATTTGATGATTTTTTTTTCTGATCATAACCCCAACTTATATTTGCAGCACCAATGAGTACCTCAAGTATTCACTCCTCTTTCAATTTCATTTTTTTTATGCTATAACCACAAACTAAATACAATTTATCTGGATGTAACGTGACAGCATGTAGGAAAGAAAACTAGTTTGTAGTTCAAAATTTGAAACAGAAATCTAAAAAGGAATAATTAAAAATCTGGTGTGTATTCTTATTAAGCCCCCTTTCCTCTGATAGTATAACATCCTCTGCATTCAATTGCCTTCAGAAGCCACCTCATTAGCAAACAGAGTCCACCTGTTTGCATTTTCATCTCCACTTGTTGGACAGGCCCAACAAGTGAAGCATCATTCAGAGAAGCAGCCACGTGATCCACTGTAATTATGGAGGAGCTGCAGAGATCCACAGCTCAGGTGGGGAATTCTGTCAACAAGGCAGCTGCTAATCATGCCCTCAGCAAATCTGGGCCTGACGGAGGACAGGCGAGAAGAAAGGCGTTGTTTAAAGAAAGTCCTTAGAAGTCCCTTTAAGGTTTTTTTTTTTTACAAGTCAATAAAGTGGACAAAGCAAATGTTTGGAAGAGGGTTTGCTTGTGAGGTGAGACCAACACTGAACTCTGTGGCATACATGCATGCGTGATACAAACCTGTCTACCACTTCAAAGAGGTGGTATTGTGCTTTCATAGAAACATTAATTGGACAACCATGTATCAATTTCCTTTCACGTCACATCTATGTATCGATCCATTACGTAAAATCTCAACAAAATACATTGATGTTTGTGGTTATAGTGTGACAAAATGTGATAAGGGTGTGAATACTTCTGCAAGCCTCTGTATGATATAAGAACAGCTTCTTTTTCGTGTCCATGGAAATTTTGCTGCTCAGATAATTCATTCCTCAGCTGACGCACCACTCTGTGTGTTTGCATGTCTTTGACTCTGTGTGCATGAATCCTCTATTCAATGTGTTACCGACAAATTACCCCTGAAGGATTACCTCCATTAGACATCATTTCAAACATCATTAAGCCAATGCTAATAACCAAACATAACGTTAAGTTTCATTTTAATTGCTCTTGTCAAGCATTGAGCCCAAAAAGCAGATGTAGCAGTTTCACATACAACTCTTGCCACCGCAACGGATGACATACAGAAGCCTGCTTGTTGTATTGATGCATGTTTGAATACACGGCAAAGCAGCAGCCCGAAATTCACTCTCACCTCAAAGGCCCTGCTTAAACATGTGGTTAAAGGTTTTGTTTCCCCCTGTCATGTCATTGTCATTCCATTTCACAGGTCCTCCTGTAAACGTTACATGCAATATTTTTATCAACAGCTTCGGCTCTGTCACAGAGACGACGATGGTGAGTTCTTCTGGATTTTATATTGACGTCTTCCCTGTCCGATTTGTGAATGTGTTATTTATTCCTCAACCTGCAGGTCCACCAGTTAATGTTACCTGCAACATATTTATCAACAGCTTTGGTTCAATAGCAGAAACTACTATGGTGAGTGGCGTGTTGTGCAAAGCCCTGACCTCTTCTCTGGAATCCAGATTTAATCATTATGTTTTTGCCCAGTGCTCTTTTGTTTCCTACTTTAATTCATGCATCTTTTATGATCATCACTGACTCAATTGGCGGGTTAAGTATTGATTTCTGTCCCCATGTGGCCCTTTGTAAACATGTTTGCTCATGTCTGAACTCCAACCAACTCAAACAAGTAATTTAGTTTGAATGTAGTCAATAAGTAGCAGCAGGAGGTAGAGGGAATGTTAAACTTCGTACTGAAGCAGCCATTTGTCAAATGGGGAAGAACAAAAAACATAGCATCTATGAGAACATGCAAACTAATCAAGATCAAAGGACACATAATGAGAGATAATAACCACTTAGATAATAAATGGAAAATGTTAATTTGTGCAGGGAGCGGGAAGACGCGCAACTGCCAGGGAATTACACAGCCTCAGACAGGCATGGCAAATACTTGGAACCGCCAATATGCTGATGAAATGTCAAACAACATAAGGGCTTTTCATCATCATGACATATCAATTACTCTGAGCAACTGAGCTTTCTGACAGTTCATACTACTTACTGTAGTATCAGAGCTCCACTCATCCAGCTGTACTAATCCATCATTTATTTACCTTCTACAAATGCTAATTCTGACAAGAAACCAATGGAAAAAGGTCAGCTTAGGTCAAATTGTAACACTATCTGATCAAGAGACGACATGTTTGGATGATTAAGACTCTATGGGCACCTCGATGATGGATGTTCTGATGCAAAACATGTTTTTAGAGTTATGCTCACTCACCGACCTTTCCGTTAATCGTCCAGTGTTGTGTTGCGACGTTGCAAAACTGTGTTTGATGAGAGGAAAATAGTGTAAGTTTCGAAGCTTCACTAAATTAAAATGTGTGCTTGTTAATGTGGAAATTATTTTATGATTTATTTTGCTGCTTGATGATGAATGATAAATGATGACATATCTGCCAACTTTGCATGAATCTTATGATAATATTGAGCTTTCAGTGCAATGTTTAATCTGTTCTTTATTCTGACTGGGATCATTATCCATGGGTTCACAAGTTGAATTTATTGAGGGCTTTGTCTAAGCCATATATGGTAGACTGAAACATAAAAACACACTGCTGTTCATATCTGGTAAATTATTGCCCCTCAACAACATGAGTATTGTTGTCATCAGCAAGTTGTATAATTTTATCTGTATCTTTCAATATTCTTGAAGATTAAACTGCAGTCAGGCGGACCGGTCTTTCTAGTAGAAATGGTGAACCTAATTTATTTCGGTTGATATTGTGGCACAGAATAAGGTTTTAAGCATCGTCTACAAACTGTTAAAAAGATTGAAGTTCTGTTCTCTCCTCAAATATATTGCTAGTCCTTTTTACAAACATCTGTTTGTTTGGGACCATTGTCTTGTTAGAATATCTCCTGATGTCCAAAGTTCAACCAACTGACTGTTCATTTAAAGTCTAGTTGAGGAATCTGGAGATAATTTTCCTTCTTTCCTATTCCATTCACTTTGAATGATGAACTAGTTCCACTGGTTTCAGTCAGCCTCTCATTTGACCCAAAAATTGTTGTTTTTTTTCCGGAACGCATCTGTTTTGTCCACGATGGCATAAAACATTTGAGCCTTTTTGGTTTATGAGCTATTCCACAACACCTCAAACAAATTTGTTTAATATTTGGGTAATTTTTCCGATTTGATTCAGCTTGGTACATCCAAATGACATATCCAAATTACAAACAGCTTCCAAAAAGAATTTCTAAATTTCCAATTTTCCTTCATAATTAAGCTACCCCTTCCGTAGATTTTCCATTTGTTATTTTCATTGGAGTAACCAGTATTTTTTACCGTACCAGTGAGGAAATATCTGCGGCTTCCGACCGTGGTCGCTAACTAAATAAAGGATTCAGTGAATGCACATAAATATATTTTAAAATATTTAACCTGGGTAGATTAGAGAAAATGACTTGTAAATTTAAACTTGTGAACCCAAACATCATGTTTCACAGGAATGATTCCACCCTGGAAAATGATCCAAATAGATCATTTTCTATTATAGTATGTAAACTTTCAAACAATATATTGATGTGTGCTTTGAGTATTTGTACATTTTAAATTAAGCTCCCCAGTTTGTGATGTAAATGTGGACAGAGTGTGTTAATCTACATATTACATAGCTTAAGTGATGCATAACCTTTGGTGTAATTTCCTGCTTTCTTGATAAATTGCCTTATTTATCAGCGATAGAAACATATTTTCATGCATCTGAAAATAGAATTACTGTAACTATTATTAAGTTATTATCGTTATTATCATTTTCTAAATGAAAAAGAGGCACATTAAAACAAGATAATGTGCGACTGGTATTACCATCGCCAGCATGCATTTCTCTCAGCACCAAATTGCTCCGCAGCAAATATGCAAAGCTGCTTGTGGTCTCTGCAGGATTACAGAGTGAACATCTTCCTGAGGCAGAAGTGGAATGACCCACGGCTGGCGTATAGTAAATACCCAGACTCCTCGCTCGACCTGGACCCTTCCATGCTGGACTCCATATGGAAGCCAGATCTTTTCTTTGCCAACGAGAAGGGGGCCAACTTCCACGACGTCACCACGGACAACAAGCTGCTGCGCATCTTCAAGGATGGAAATGTGCTTTACAGCATCAGGTGAAGTTGAGCAATTTTAAATATCAGAGCTGTAAAAAGGTATTCTGCATCGCTTTACACATGTACACACACACACTTTGACTTTTCATATTTTGCTGTGTTTACACTTCAGTGAGTTTTATTTGGATTTTATGTGATAAATCAACCAACTCAAGACTTGAGGCTGGAGAATAGCTCAGTCAACATCCAAATAATGTGCGGCAAGACATAAACACTGATGTTCACAGACTCTCTCTATGAACTTTGAAAGGCTGGAGTTATTTTGCAAAGGAAGATGCTTCTGAATGCTGGTGACGATATAAACTTGCAAGTTGAACTGATCGGAAAGCTGGATGTAGAGAGGGAGTCTAAATGTAAATACAAAAAATATATATTTTTGATTTGTATTTATGAAAAACATAGAAGTCATTATACATGTTCCTTCCATTGCACATTTATAATACACTTAATGTGGGCAATCATAATCATAAAATACCAACAAATAGTGTTGAAGTTTGTAGTTTGAATGTAACAAAATGTGGAAAAGTTTAAAGGATGTGAAAACCTGCAAGTCACATGAAGCCCTCTCTACCTTAGAACAGAATCTACTGAGTTAAAGTATATAGCTGTTTTATTCAGACATTATTACATATTTCTGCGTATTTCAACCTCTTATTCCCAAGAGCTGATGAACTGTTAGCAGTTACAACTAATTTAAGTTTTAGCTGGAGTTTCAGAGTTCTGAGTGAAATAATGAACGATCCAATCCCTTATAAACCAAAACCTCCACAGCGTGCATTCCACCAGAAGACATTCAGTTACTGCTTTTCTTGAATGTCCTCAGACTTCAAAGACTCTAGATGTAAAGCATGTCATTTTAAATTGATCTTATCTGTTATGTTCACTTCTTTGAAATACTCTAATATGTTGAACATCAGTGGATTTCTAAGGCTGTTTTTATTCATATTATTCTTTCATTGAAAAGAGCTCAGATTGAAAAAGGCAAGCTCATCTCAGGGGCTTTGGATGGAAATCTAAAAGAAAAGAAAGAAGTTTTTTTTTTTTTTTCCCTTTATTTTCTCCTCTATGCACAGCATAGCTTAGAGACTACACTGTGTGTGTGTGACATTTATAGGGTCTTCTCGGCTTTAACTGTAAACATAGTCCAGGTACAAGACTTGAAAACAGGTTACCTCTTATTTCAATACAACCTCTGTCACGTGCACCATTCAATTTCTTTCAGCAGAGATGCAATGGAACATAGATCAATTTTGAGTCCATTTGGCGAGCAGCTCAGGGCTGAGTGGTGCACAGGTGCAGCGGTAGAGTAGGTGAATGAGAGAAATGAAAGGTGGTTAACCACACTCTTCAGTCGGGTGGGGCGGGGAGAAATGACAGAGCGGGCAGACTGCCGACCACAATGCATCACTGAAACAATAAGTTGCAGTAATGAAAGTGTGATGGGAACCCGTCGAAGGGAATCCTACGAGATACAACGGAGGTTCTCACCAGACCCAATACAGAGATTGCAAAAAAAAAAAGTGTACGGACAGAAACGTGATTCTTCAATCTATTGTCAAATCATGTGTTGAGGCCCCAGTTCAAGGTTTCATAAACATATTGGGCCGGACCCGCCTTGTTTTATAATACGTCCTTCTCTTATATCACAGGTTGACTCTCATTCTGTCCTGTCCGATGGATCTGAAAAACTTTCCCATGGACGTTCAAACTTGTACGATGCAGCTGGAAAGTTGTGAGCATTTGATGTTTCTCTTATGTTTTTTTTTTGTTTGTTTTCTGGACTCTTCTGATGGATAATCTGCTCTTTATCTATACTCCTCCCATCATTTATTACCTTCAGTTGGCTACACCATGAATGACCTAATTTTTGAGTGGCTGGAGAACGGCGCAGTGCAGGTGTCAGAGGGACTCACCCTGCCTCAGTTCATTATGAAGGAGGAGAAAGAGCTGGGCTACTGCACTAAGCATTACAACACTGGTCAGAAAACAACTAAGTACACTCTGTCTAATTAACCTAGCCTCTCTGAATTGCATTTGTCTAATCGAATTACATTTGTTCCCACGCTGCAGGTAAATTCACCTGCATCGAAGTTAAATTTCACCTGGAACGACAGATGGGCTACTACCTGATCCAGATGTACATTCCGTCACTTCTCATTGTCATCCTCTCATGGGTGTCTTTTTGGATAAATATGGATGCTGCTCCTGCAAGAGTTGCATTGGGCATCACCACTGTGCTTACGATGACCACTCAAAGCTCTGGCTCTCGAGCTTCTCTTCCAAAGGTACAATTATATTTTTCTCTCTGACCATAACAAGTAATATGCAGGATGGCAGATCTTTTATTTTAGTGCAAAGTGTCACTCAGAGGTACATAAATGTTTCCAGCAGAACATCTGGCTGTAGTACATCGTCTTCCTTTCATACTCCTAAAACTCCTTACCTTGTATTTAGATCCATTCATCTCAAGAAAAGCATCCCCGTAGCATGATACTGCCATCACTATGTTTCATGGTGGGGATAATGTGTTCAAGTTAATGGACAGTGTTTACGTTTCGCCACATTTAAGGCCGAAAGGTTGCGTTTGGATGTCTTTCGACTAGCGCATGTTCTACTTGCTTGCTGTTCTCCCTACGTGGCTTGTGGCAGAGGCGGACTTCTTGCTTTATTTTTACCACTTCTCTGCAAAAGCCAATTTTGTGCACTTCACAAGCGATAGTTGTATATGAACTGATTTCTAACCCCCACACTTGCCCCTCTGAGGATCTTTGCAGCTCTTCTAGAGTTGGCCTCTTGATTGCTTGTCTGATTATCTCCTCTCCTTGTCTGACTTGTCAATAGAAGAAGCTGAATACATAGTCTCGTGGAAAGATTTGAACACATCATGAAATAATGGTTTGTCTAAAAGGAGAGAGAAGGAAAATTGAAGAAGTGAAAGTCTAATTTGTACCCTCAGTGCATGTGCTTAAAAAATAATTGAAGATTATTGATGGTTAGATCGCTGAAAAGTCAAAGTAATGTGACAGTCATGGTCGTGATAAGCATATGGAAACCTTTCCAGGGTGTTTATGTCACTGAATTTTATCAATCAAGCAACACTTATGTTTAATGAGTGTTCTGATTTTACAAAAAATATGTGAGTAAGTAAACATTTTTTATATAGTATCTTTCAATACAAACCTCACAAAAGGCTTCAACAAAAAAAAAAAAAAGCATGGAGTTGCTGCATGTGAACTTAAGTCTGCAATGAATAGATGAGTTGCACTCACCACATTTTGTCTTTATTTTAAGTGAATGTTGATGGCACTTAAAACTATGGCAGCAATGTTTCAGAAGAGAAGCTCTCACTCAACTCAAACACAAACACAAATACAACCACAATGACACAATAAAATAACAAATAAATGTATATTGTATTCAAATGACACGGCTGTCGTTAATCAGAAGCAAGACTACAATGATTGTACTCCTCATTCAATGTACCCTGAAGTCAACATCACAATTGGTTTTGCATGATTGTCACAGAGACCATGTATGCATTACAAACAGCACAGCAACACTGCAAACGCCTATTTTCAATTATGGAAAACAGGCAACACACTCACTGTGAAGAGTCCTCTGGCACACTGAGTTGGATCTCAGCGATCAATCAATCTCATCATTATCAAAGGCTACAGTCGGCGTCATGAAAGACACAGAAAACACAGACGTGCTGATAAATATTTCAAGAGGAGCTTTTGAGAGCTTTGACTCGTGGAAACAATAACTCAGTGTGCCTTTAAGGGTCCTTGGATTTCTGAGTTGCTTTCTGAACAAGCCGTTTGGTGTGATGCACAGGCGAGGTCTCAGGGATGGGAAGGAAAAACTGCAAACTTCATGCTCGACTTTCCAAAAATTACAGATCAAAACCAGCATTAGAGGTATAACTGATTATTTTTCTATTGTTATGTGCCAGTCTAACAGTGACATTAACAGCAACCAGGCAACACTTCCAAGCAAACACTTTCGATACCTACACTTACTTATTTTTATTTGAATGACACATTTAGCCAACAAAATGTGTAAGAAACTTTGCAGCGCATGAAGTGAATAAATATAGGAAACTCTGATTTAAGTTTCATAGCTGGATCACATTTTAAAGTGAAATCAAAAATTCATACTGCATTTGATTTGAGAGTCGATGCTGTCACCTTGTTGGGACTAACAAAGAAATTCTGTTTTGTCTCTCAGGTCTCGTACGTGAAAGCCATTGATATCTGGATGGCTGTGTGTCTGCTCTTTGTATTTGCTGCATTGCTAGAATATGCTGGGGTTAATTTTGTCTCCAGGCAACAGAAAGAGTTCCTCCGCCTGAGGCGAAGACAAAGAAGGAATCACAAGGTAAGGTTTCAAAGATTTCACAAGGCTGCTGTTTGCATAGGACACTTTTAGAGCACACCAGTGTGACTTTGTGGCTCAGTTTTCTTTTCCATCTACATACCGAAATCACCTTCAAAAAGTAAGAAAAAGTATTTCGAAAGCAGGTGCAACACGACCGCAGGATTTGTATGTGCACCTGAAAGAGCAGGCCAATCCCATTTAGCTACAAAAAGAAGAGGTCTATGTAGCACAAAAAGGTACAAATTTACCAGACAATATACCAACAACCAGGTTAGCACCCTGGCTCTACATGGAAATTAATGGCCCAAAAATGTGACGTATGTGCAGATCAGACCTTTTGAATAAATCACAAAACATAATCCTTGAATAAGGCTACACATTTGTTAGTCTAATTAGCAGTTTATCTTCAAGCATATCACTCTAATCTGAAGTTTGTAACTTAAGATATCAGTTTTAGCTTTAGTTCAGTTAGCACAACCAACTTTAGATCTGGCATCCTTCTTTATTCGGCTTTTTCTGTGAAATATTTCATATTATTGGAATTAATGCATACATTTTGATTTTTCCAGATACAGAGTTTTTCACCTGAGAATATTTTTAGAATTCTATGACAAAAAAGTGTATCAGAAATTATTTGTGTTAATACATCTTGAGTAAATTATGCTTGAAATTGAATGTTTTTCTTTGTGAAGTAAATAAAAAGCGATTTGCAAGGTTAGGTAAAGGTTGAGCAATAGGGGGCGCTAATAACAGGAAATAAATATAAGCAAAAGCAACATCAAACTTTTAGAGTTAGAAAGTTGGAAACTTCTAAGCCTCAGACATTTTAAAGAACTTACTGCAAAATAAACTTAAACTGACTTTAGTTTAGCTAAGAATTATTTAAACACGTAGTGGCACTCCTATACCAGAGAGGTTATGACATTCAGCCCAAGATAGCTAGACATTATTAAGCATAAATAAGAGTTATGTCAAAGTTTACTTTGCTGTAATGAAGCATTACTGTGAACTCTATACCCTTATACACCCCTATGCCACATTCAAAACTCGATAAGTGATAAATTAAAATCAGTGTATTTATTGGGTGTCTAGTTCACACAGACGTTCAAATATTAATCAAAATGACATCATAAAACTTTTAATTTCTCTATGAAAGAGGGTTGTAAAGTAAACACTGAGCATATGCAATTACTAGAAAGCTACTGACATGCCCTTCAGCGTCCATTCTGCACTTTAGTACAACTGTAGAAAGTTGCAGGTAAATGTGAAATGGGAGATGCGTTGCACTAATATTGTTTGGTTGAAATTAAGATTCAACCCCTGCAGCAGTCATACCATTGCTTTTTCATTAAAGTGCATCTGGTTATCCTGTGAATTCTAATTAATTTAGAAGAGTTTGTAATATCTTGTGATTAACATTCATGTATAATCACTGTATTACAGAAATGCGTGCCTCTGGCCACTGAAACGCAAAGCGTGACACTTGAGCCGTACATACAGCCATCATCCACATATTCCCTTGTTTTTCAGGAGGATGAAGGCCGCTTTAATTTAACTGGGTACAACATGAGCCAGTGCATGCCAACAAAGGATGGCTCGGCTGTTAAGAATGCGGTTCCCGCCACGAACCCCCAGCCTTCAACTCCAAAGGACATAGACGCTATGAGGAAAAAGTTTGTGGACAGAGCCAAGCGGATAGACACAATCTCCAGGGCGGCCTTCCCGCTGGCTTTTCTGATCTTCAACGTCTTCTACTGGATCACATATAAGATCATCCGACACGAAGACGTTCACAAACAGTAATGGCTTAACCCTCTGCTGATAACGTTTTATCTTCCCATTTCTCAAATTGAGAAATGCTCGGGAAACCGTGTGCCGAGAGGCACCACGGCGACAATGGAGACGCTTTTTCAGGGATAATGTACAATGTTCATGCGTCATAAAGATCAAATACTATTGTATCTGGTGAGGTGAAGGTTCTTGAAAATAAGATGCTTTGTTTGTTCTTGTACTGCTCCATAATATCTGATGCAGACTTAGTTCGCTGCTGGAGAAGATGGACCAAAACCCCCTTGAATCGCCCAGCCCAGGCATCTCTACAACGAAGGAAACATTCCATGGGTTTGTGACTGTAGCTAGCTTAGATCTTCAAAGACTTTTTTGATGCAAAATTTCTTATCGAGGATGTTCAAACTGTTTTATAGTGTAGTATTGTTTTTTGGCACTTCTTCCTCTCTGTCTAAAATAAGTTCTAAGCAAGCAGAGCATGTATAGATGTATTAAATATTAAGGAGCTGCACATGTCTCAGGTACGGCTGTGAAGGAAGGAGATGGAAATCTGGGGAAGGAGCCTGGAGATTCCATTTTTATGAAATACCTGAAGCCTTAGATATTTGATTTGGTTTGGATGAAGTGCTATGCTCTTGTATTTTTTTTCCACGCTTCTATCTAACAAGTATTCACGGATAACTGATGTCACACAAAGTTGTGAATTTTGTTCACGTGTTTTTAATTTCTGCCTTCCATTTTTGAAGTGATTTATTAAATAAGCTGTCACAGGCTGACTTTTAAACAAATGTATAACTGGGCAAGCAAACTCTGATTGTACATTATTCTGTGTTGTCATATGCATATTTATTTATACCCCAGGTAATTACTCCAGGTATATTTCGTACTCTGTTTTGTAGATTTAGCTAAATGAAATATTTATTGTAATGACTCAAAGGTTATGTTTATAAAATTGATATCTTTGTGTAAACTTATTCAGCTTCCACTGCAGACTATTTCCTTCACTTTGAGTATTCATGGATGCAATCAGCAGTGAAGAACAAGTCTTCATTCAACATTCATAGTACAGAGCAGCTAATGGCAATTGCACTCCTGGGAAATATCTTTTCTTAAACGCTATTCATGAAGAAATACGATTTACTGGCTTGTATATCAATAAAACTGACTGTGCATCATGTTTACCTTATCCTCTCCTGAAATGTATAAGAAAGTACTAGAGTAGTTCAAAATTTTGAACATGAGGTTCTGTTAAATGTGGCCAGTTGGTAGCACTGTTGGCTTGTAACAAGAAGGTCCTGTTTGAATCCCGACCTTGGATCTTTGTGCATGGGGTTTGCATGTTCTCCCCATGCATGCATGGGTTTCTCTGGGTACTCCAGCTTCCTATCACAGTCTAAAAACATTATTTTTAGGTCAGTTGCCCTTAAGTATGAAAGTGGATCAAAGTGACCCTGATAGTAGTTGCTATTTGTTGCAGACATATACCATATTTTCTTACAGAAGACTACGACAAGAATATAGAAAATCACTGTAAATCAACAGTTGGCAAAGTGGGTGCAGAAAGTACAATTTGATGTAGTGTTGATATTAAACATCCATCGATAGATTTTCCCATTTTGTTCTCGAAAAGTCCAAAGTCCAAAAGTCCAAAGCAATCAAAAATTAAAAAGTACAAAATATCAAGGCAAAAATCGCCAACATACTCAGAGCATGTACAGTCAGTGGGAGAAATAATTATTTGATCCCCTGCTGAATCTGAAAGTTCCTTACAATTAAATTAACTATGTCTATTTATAAAGCAAGATCAGTAGAGATGCACTGCCTCCTATCCTAGTCCATTTCAGTGTAAATAACTGCCCAAAGCAAACAGCAAACATTCACTTAAAAAAATGTTAGCATAAACGGCCATAAGTGTAGAGACTGGAGTTGTTTTAAGATGGTAGAACTTTAGTCATTTTAGTCTGTTGTTTCCAGCCTGTAGGGGCCAAATGAAAATGCTGGGAGATTTATACGGCATGTGAATTATTAACTACTAAACTTTAAAAATTACAAACAAGTTTAGTAATTATTAATGTTTGGTCATAAAGGCAAGGTAGAGAATCATGTCATGGAATATGGGAAAGGCTTTCCTCTCTTCTCCGGGCCAATAAGTCAGGGTGACGATGTGAGTGATGGATCACTGGGTGGCCTCGGGTGATGAAGATGCGATCTGACAGCGGGTATCCAAAGAACGTGTGACGATAATGGACTTCACACTGCAGTTTAAAGATTCTGTCACTTTGTGTTTGACTGCTGCCTGACTGGCAAATCGAGAAGAGGAAACAATGGAGAAATGCCCTCAATGATTCATATTACCCATACCATGTGTTCAGAAAAGGCGTTTGCTCAATCTGAAGGGTGTGGAATAATTCAACTGAGACTCATAAATGTGGTGAATTACTAAACAAAGAGTAAATATGCATCGTGCTTAACATATTTTTTTTTTTTTTGGGGGGGGGGGGGGGGGGGGTAAAAATCATGAAAAAATCAAAAAGATAGGGATTCCTTTTTTTT